ACTTCTCTCTCACTGTTATACTGAGGTAATAACTTAATTCAACTTTTAGTATCATGCAAAACCTTTGAGATGACTCTGTTAAACAAGAGTACTTATCTAACTGCAAGCCCTCAAAATCTTTTTGAAGTCACAATCAATGCTTTGTGTGATAAACTGGATGAAAATGGCTCTTTCAATTTCAGAAGTAAGAGAAATGCCAATTGATGGGGAATTTTTGGGTTCTCAACACATCTTTTTCTTCCTCTTTTCTGATAATCAACTGCATTAATTTAGTACTCAAAATAAAAGTATCCAACAGCCTAAGTGAAAGCATATGCATGTCTCAGTATGAATGAGACCTGATCATGCTTTGCTATCTTAGAACATGCAGTGTCTCTTGTTAATATCATTTTTATCCATAAATTCTCAGTAGAAAGAAAAATGAAACCAAGGTAGATGAATACAAGCAGCAGCAGAGAAGCTTCAGAACTCTTTTCAAAGTATAGGGGAAAACAACAACAACAACAACAAATTAAAAGCATTCTTTTCTTCATAAGAAGTCACCTTACATAATACTGTAAATAGAAGTCCAGTTCTTCAAATCTACTTGAAATCACTGTAGCCTTACAACCTCCTCTAGAGGTTTTGACTACAAAGCAAATCTAAATGGCTTTGCTGTCACTGAAAACAAAACCTATGGCAAGACCCTCTCAACAAAACACATACAGGTATGAAAATGGACAACACGCTAAGAAACAAAATATTCAAAGTCATTTCACCATGCATATTTTCAGTCAAACTTATAAAACTGACATGGAGATTTTAAGGGAGGCCAAAACCTTGGGATTTCACGCAGCTCTCTAAAAAAGCAAAAGGTACATTTCCTGAGATTCAATTCTTGTTCAGGTAAATGCAAGACCAATTCCAGGTTTAAGTCTTGGCCCTAAGCTAAACTCCAAGTGCCTTTTTCCTCTTCTATTAGTACTTCCACAGAAAGGCCTACCCTACACACTGTCACTATGCACTGCAAAAGCAGATCAAAATGTGAGCTGTCATTTTTTAACCTTGTATCACTGCTGAGCATCTCACACACATCAGTACTTGGCTGACATTTCAGCCTTAATGTGCTGCCAGAGAGGAGGTCCTCACAAGGTGCTAACATGACAGTATTTAGCACAGAAACAGTGTGAGTGTTTTTTACACTTTGTCACTCCGTCACTCCTCACCACCAACAGACAGTGAAAGCCTGACTAGGCTTCTGCATCCAGCCTGAGCAATCCCAGTGTGTAAAGCAGTCATGCTTCTAAACTTCACCAGCAAGACCAAGACATTGACCTGGGAATGTGGTCGCAGCAAAGGAATTCTCACCAGATTTTTCCTGCTGGGGGTGGTGGAGTGCTGAGGCAGGAGCCCAGGAAAAATGAGGGAAGAGGTTTTTCTAACTGCAGATGGACAATGAAGGCCTTCCACAACCTCATCCAGACTGGGAATGGTGAACCCCTGGGGCTGCACTAGAGACCTCCAGAGGTCCCATCCAGCTGAATTACCAGATGTTATCAATTAAAGATTGCATTCAATCTAGTACAGAAAAAAACCCACCAATATCAGAGGGAATGTGTTTTACCTGTCTTGGCCCCGACATTTATTTGTTTTTAATAATGTCTAAAAAAAACCCTACTGAAAGAGCAGAGCGTACTACAGTGAAGAGCTTGGAAGGGCAGTACCATCTATGGGGTTTTGGCTGCTCTTTCCACAGCTCTTTATCCAGGCTGGCAGTGATAGCTCAGTTTCTTCTTGAATTGTATTTTCTGAGTACATCTAAACGTTTTAATGCTAAACAGTATGCATTATGCACTTCCAAGCTATTTACAAGCCACAGACCTCTCTTAACACATTCACTCTTACCTCCACTGGGTCGAGTTTCCTTGCTTATCAGGGATCATGTTCTCCAGCTGGTGGCAGAAGAGAGACGAGCTCAGATCTGTTCCTCGTTGTAGAGCTTCAGAAGTTTCACAGTATCCTCTGCTGCCAAAGAGCAGAACCAGATCAGAAATAAGAACATGGACTATGCCTTCGAGCAAACATTATCACTTTATACAGACAGACACTCCCCCCCAAAATCATCTGCAGTGAAAAGAGGCAGATAATGAAGCCCAAATCCTTAATAGGGATTAATCTCCACTCTTTCCTCAGAGCCATACTTGAAACTGATCTATGCTCTGGTAGTACAGGTGCAAATCAGTTAATGAAATAAATAGGGCAGGAGATCTTTCTCCTTTTTTAATGCCTTTATTAAAAATCAGTTCAGGTGGGAAGAACCAACGGGTCACTGCCACCGCTGCTCCCAGGAGTGGCACGGAGGACGAGGAAGAGTGCAGCTGTGTTCGCTGGTCTGCAGGCAGAGCTAGGGTTTCCATCCTCATGAGAGCACCAGGAGATTTCTGGTTTTTAAGTTTGACATTCGGGGTCCACTTTCTAGCTGATGTCTTTTTAGGTTAGTGAAACGGGTCGTAGAGGACACTGGATTCTGTTCTTCACGTCTAGACATCACTTCAATCTCTTAATTCCGTGGTGGCTTGTTGTTTTTAGGGGTTTTTCCTGCTGGATTTAGTGAGGGGTTTCCTCATTTGCATGCCAACCCCGATGTCACCTCCTCCTCACAGTCCCGAGTGCCATCTTCCAGGAGGCAGCAGGGTGATACTCGACAAAGGGGGATTTCTAACCATCAAGAACAGGTAATTAAAGGAAAACTATTAACACCAGGTGATTACAACATGAAATTATTAACAACAAAGAGTTAGAATTCCAACTTGGCAGCAATTGGTTTAACTTGTGAACTCTGCAACCTTTAAAAAATGGACAACTTTTCTACTCATAACAGTTCAGAAATACCAGATTACTGTTTCCAAGGAACAGTCCCATACCAAAGTGCAAACTTTGCAGGGCTAAGCCATTTTTGTGCTATGCAGTACTTCTCAACACCTGGAGGTACACAGACCTTCTCTTTGTTATTTTGAATTCTTATTTTCACAGAATCACAGGCTGGGTAGGTTGGAAGGGACCACAGTGGATCATCTGGTCCAACCTCCCTGCTCAAGCAGGGCGATCCCAGAGCACATGGCATAGGATTGTGTCCAGACAGTTCTCCAGGGAGGGAGACTCTCTGGGCATCCTGTTTCCTTGCTTGGTCACATTAAAGAAGTTGTTCCTCCTGTTCAGGTAAAACTTCTTGTGCATCAGTTTCTACTCAATGCCTTCTTGTTCCATTGCTTGGCACCACCGAGCAGAGCCTGACACCCCTCCCTTCAGTTATTCATAGACACTGATGAGGTCCCCTCTCAGTCATCTCTTCTCAAGGCTGAACAGACCCAGCTCCCTCAGCCTTTCCTCATAAGAGAGATACTCCAGACCCTTAATCACTTTTGTTTCTCCAGCAAGGCCTGTGACTGTGAGGCTGCTTCAAGCTGTCTGTAGAAGACCTCATGCACTTTCTCCTGTATGAAGTAGCCTGTAGCAAACACGCACAACAGTGTTACCTCTATGAGCCTGCCCTTTTTTCCTTACCCATGAGATCTTGACTTGCTTGTTGTCCACCCAAAGACAGAGCTCGATACATTCCAAGTGCTCTCTCACAGACAGGAAACTCCACCACCGCACCTTTCTGATCTGTCTCTCCTAAACAGGGTGTAGCCCTTCATGACAACACTGCAGTCATGCAAGCTATCCCACCATGTCTCTGTAATTGCAGTGAGATCAAAACCTTTTCACTACACGTGTGTATAGTTCCTTCACTGTATTAGGAAACAACATGTGCTTCAACTTTAGAAAGAGCAAAGGATGTATAAGCATGTGCCCTCTAAGATCCATGGGAAAGAATCCTAATGCACTAAACTGGTGGTCAAACAAATTATTCAGATCTAAAAACTCATTACTATGAGTAGAAAATCAGAAATGCCATACACAGAAGAGCAATTCCACATGGTTCACAAGACAGCTCAGTAAAATACAACTTTACCCCTATTCCAGCAATGCCCAGCTGGCCCTGCACAAGCCATTACTCACAAAATTACTCTGCAGCCCCATGTAGTTGCATCAACAATATCAGGTCATTTGTAAGCAGTATGCCGAGATGTTTTGCAGGCACAAGGACAGCACACCCTCTCTCCCAAAGCTGCACCAGGCAAGGTGTGGCACCTGAGTGCTGCATCCATGGATGCCTCTCCCTGTCACAGCACCCTCACACAATGGGCAGCCCAGATCCAGATGGGAGGGTTATGGGATGCTTGCACTCTTTCACAGCAGTCAGTGTGGATGGGCTTTCTTGCACTCATGTATGAGCCAGCTGTGTGCCGATGGCATTCTGGCCTGTTTCAGAAATAACATGACCAGTAGGACTAGGGAAGTGATTCTGTGCTCAGCACTGGTGAGGCCACATCTCAAACACTGTGTCCAGTTCAGGGTTCCTCAGTTCAGGAAGACCATTGAGGTGCTGGAGCAGGTCCAAGGAAGAACAATGAAGCTGGTGAAGGGTCTGGACGACAAATCTTATGAGGAGCAGCTGAGGGAGCTGGGGTTGTTCAGCCTGAAGAAAAGGAGGCTCAGTGGTAATCTTATCACTCTCTACAGCTACCTAATAAGAGGTTGTAGCCAGGTGGCAATCACTCTCTTCCAGGCAACCAGCGACATAGCGGACATAGAGGACATAGCGTTAAGCTGTGCCAAGGGAGGTTTAGGCTAACATTAGGAAGAATTTCTTCACAGAAAGGGTGATTAGACATTGGATTGGAACGCCTAGGGAGGAGGTGGAGTCACTGTCCCTGGAGGTGTTTAAAGAAAGATTGGACGTGCCAGTTAGTGCCCTGTGGTTTAGCTGACAATGGGGTGATAGACGACAGACGGGACTAGATGATCTCAGAGGGATTTTACCTAATCGTTTCCGTGGGCAGACACAAATTCATACCCGGCCCGGCCCCCGCCCCGCCTCGCCCCGGCCCCGCTCCGCTCCTCCCCGCCCCGCCGGCACTGCGGCGCCGGTCATGGCGGCGGCAGTGCGCCTGTTCCGTGGAGCCGCCCGTGGCCCGCCCGCCCTCGCCTTTACCCGGGCACTGGGCTCCGCGCCGCCGGGGCCGGTGAGCCGGGGGGCGCGGCGGGCCGCGCTGGCGGCCGCAGGGACGTTGGGCGGACTGGGGCTGGCGCTGGGGCTGTGGCGGCGGCAAGCCGCGTTGGCAGCGGCCCGGGAGGACGAGGAGGAGAAGGAACTGCGGCAGCGGTTCATGGCGCCACCGGTGAGCGGGCTGCGGGAGCTGCGGCGGCGGCGGCGAGAGCTGCGGAGCCGCATGGAGCTGCTCATCATGGAGACGCAGGCGGAGATGTGTCGCGCCCTGGCCGACCTGGACCCCGGCGCCTCCTTCGCCGTTGACAGCTGGGAAAGGAAGGAAGGTACGGGGGAGCCGCGGGGGAGACCGCGGATACCGGCACCGCGGGTTTGGTCACCCCTCGGTGACCCTGACCTGGAGCCTGGCGTTGGCAGGCGGAGGCGGCATCAGCTGCGTGCTGCAGGATGGCGAGGTCTTTGAGAAGGCAGGTGTGAACGTGTCCGTCGTGTCCGGGCTCCTGTCCGAGGAGGCAGCACGGCAAATGCGGAGCAGGGGGAAGTCTCTGAAGGCCAAGGACGGTAAGGCGTCTGTCGCGCAGTTGGGATACGGAACCTGGATGTGTTGACCTGAGTATTCCTGTTCAGGTACTCTGAAAGCAACCTGGCCTTTGAGCAGAACATGAGGAAGGCCAGACTGATGAAAGTTCAAAGGCTTTCATTTGTATCATAGTGATTTCTAATCAGTAAGCTTGACAGGTGGACTCTCATGTCCCTAGAATGCCAGGTATGGGAGTGCTTCTCTCTCTGGCTTGTTGCTATGAGGAATGTATTGTAGGCACAGGTGGCCTCTCAATAATGAGGCTCTAGTGCAACAGTGAAACAGTGCAGGAATTATGTACCAAAAAGGTGGAGGGAGAAAACCAACAACACCTGAAGGCTAAAGGGGACTCAACACACCTTTGTGTAACAAAGGGTAATTGTGAGGACTGGGGGTGGTAGAAAGCCTTAGCAGTGCCTTATGTTTTAAGTGGTCTTCATCTAGTGGGTTCTCCAAAGTATTGTCACGTTTTAGAACAAATACCAAAGACATCACTGAGTTAGGTGCACAGAAGTATATGGGTAAGAAGTAACTTGCCCACCGATTAATAATGATGGTGACCCAAATGAGACACTTTCCTGTTGTGGCTTGGAGCCTAAGGGAAAATAGTGATATTCCTTAAATGATAACAAATGAAGTTTATTGAAAAACTGAAGAGCTTTTCCTGTGCATCCTTTTATCCAGGGAAGCTGCCTTTTTGCGCCATGGGTGTGAGCTCTGTTATCCATCCAAAGAATCCTCATGTTCCAACCATGCACTTCAACTACAGATACTTTGAAATTGAAGAAGCAGATGGTAAGGATTATTGTCCAGTGAGGAATGTATGAAATGTCTGACTCTGCCCCAAGGAAGTGTGAATGCATGGCTGGGTAAGAGATCAAGAACCAGTGTGAGTTTGCTCCCAGGTATGTCAAGACTCACCAGCCCATCTTGTGAAATTGCTGTCCTGTAGTCAGGGTCAATAGTCCAAAATGGTTTTCACTACATTGAAGTTTGTTTCATCTTTTCCTGAAGTCACTGATCATTGCACTACCTTGTAGTCAAATTTTTCACTATTGAAGTTTAGGGACACCGCTGAAAAATGATGTTTTTTTGTATCATAAAAGTAGTTGTTAGTTTTTGGTGAACCACTAGCAACAAGTTGCTGTTCAGAAGTTTAAAAGAAAAATTTTGCTGCTTGCCTCTGCTATAGGAACTAAACAGTGGTGGTTTGGTGGTGGGACTGACCTCACTCCAACTTACCTGAATGAAGAGGATGCCGTTCATTTTCACAAGACTCTGAAAGAAGCCTGTGACAAGCATGATCTAAAGCTGTATCCCAAGTACAAGAAATGGTACGTGGACGAAGGTGTGCTTGGGGGGAGCAGAAAGCAGGACTGGGTGTTGGCAGTTAAGTGTGTGCTAGGAACTGTAGGTTCTGATGCCTTTTGAAATGTATCAGAAAGCCCTAATGAAAATCAGAAGTGTACTAGGACAAAATGTTGTCTAAAGAAATATCTTATTTACAGAATCCTGGATTTTTCAAGTCTGAGGGCTCACAACTAGGATCGTAAGTCTACAGCCCAAAGAAAAACTAAGCTGATAAAATTCCTTTTAGCCTCTGGTGTTAAAGTAGGATAAGACTTCTGCCCCATGAACTTGCACAAATTCTCTTTGCAGTGAACTCGTGGTAAATGTGCATGATTCAGTGTGAGCTCTTGGGTCATCACAGCAGTTTTGAAAATCCCATTTTTGTTTTTCTGCCTTCAGTCTGGCCTTCATAGCCAGGTAATTTCCCGGTATGTCAAGGACATTGTCCTTAATGTAGAAGCTTCATAATTCGATGAAGCTGTGTTTTTTTCTCTGGTGACACATTCACTAGGAGTTCAACAGCACATTTTCTAAGATGCAAGCTTTTTATGTTCTTGAGCTGAGAGATACAAGTGATGGGATCTTCCACTACTAAGTGGGAACTTGCTGTTCTGTGTCTGATAATCCTATCTGCCGCAAGCTGTGTATGCAGGAAGGTGGGGGTACCCTTTTGTAAGCTACTAGGTCTTGTCTGAGGACAGGAGATAAAGTGGGTGTTATAGTTTGGGTGGCAACCACTTAGTAGAGAGACATATTGTAGAGCCTTGAGATTAGAGTCTTGCTGTCTGAGGATTTTTTGCATGGTAGTTTAGAGAATCTACCTTAATGGTCTGGTTCTTTGCTGCTTAAGTAGGTTTGCAATGCCAGCTGCAGGGGGTAGGAGACGTTTTCCCACTTCGCTAAAGAAAAACATTATTACACTTACCACATTGTCTACCTGATTTAGATTTAAGATTTTTGTCAGGCTTATTCTCTTATATGTTTCTGACTCGGTGTTTTTCCCTAACTCTTCCTGCTATCATAAAATAGAAAACACTGATTATCCTAGAGAATAAAAAAAAATAGTGTAGGTTATCTGTTACATCTCTAGGTCTCTCTTGTTATGGCCATGCCACATATAATGCTTGAGAACGATTGTGGATATATGGAAAACTGGTTCTGTATGGAAAACTAGTCCTAATGGAAGGCCAGGTTTTCTTGATGTTGATGGTTCCTGCTTCATACTTCATTTTGCTTTCTCCTCCCTGTGAAGACTTGCACGCCCAAGCAAGGAATTATAAGAAAGATGGAGTTAAGTCATTCAAGTTACAGTAATTTCACAACTAAATACTCCCTGTAAATACAAAAGAGATTAATTGCTTTTAGGACAAGCTGTCCTTACTCATTTATAAACTTAAACATGAGTCATGAAAAGCCACTGCTATAATGACTCAGTCTTTCAAGTTTTAACTATTAAAAAGCCTTTTTCCAAAGAAGGGTGCCATGAGAGTTGCTTTCTTATCTGGTCTTGGGGCCTTAGGTTACTTATGTTTTGATGAAGAAAATTCTTTTACTTGGATGGCAAAGAGAATAAATTCTCTTCCAAGTCTGAGTTCATATGAAAGCTGTCCAAATAATTTGAGAACTACATATAATTCTGGGAATGGAATCTATCAAGAGCCCTTAGTTTTGAAAATTTTGAAATCAGATGTCTCTGTTCGGAGTTGGTTGAGGATATGGATTGGATTAACCCACATGGACGCATCTGCCAGGGTGTTCAGGGTGTTTGTGGTGATGTGTAGCTTTACAGAGACCATTTAATCACAGCTTTTACTGCAAGTGACACAGGAGTGCTTTCCAGGTGATGCTGCACTGTCCTGCCTCTGGGTATCAGGGAAACAGTGGGGCACCCAGCCCTGCAGAAACTGACTTATGGGCAGTATTTCACTGGTTCTGTCCTGTAGCATGCAGCTCTTTAGAGTACTGTTCATGTCTTTGAATACTCTGGACCATATTGGTAATCATCTGACGCTGCTTCTAGGTGTGACGACTACTTCTATATCAAGCACCGTGGCGAGCGTAGAGGGATTGGAGGCATATTCTTTGATGATGTGGACTCTCCCTCCAAGGAGGAAGTATTCCAGTTTGTAAAGAGTTGTGCCAAAGCTGTTGTGCCTTGTTACATTCCCATTGTGAAAAAGCACTGCCATGACTCCTTCACACCAGAGGAAAAGCTATGGCAACAGCTTCGGAGAGGACGGTGAGTACTAGAGGAACAAAAGTATACGCAGGAGGTGGACTGGGCTGGCAAGAAAAAAATATGAGCTAGGTCTTCACAGTTACAGGTTGTGTGGGCCAAAAAAACAGACCAAGAATTTCAGCATTTTTGTGCATAGAACTAATTCTGAAATCCAATGCTAGATTGCTAAACAGGGTGCAAAGAAGGCATTTCCCACTCTCCCATGTTGCAACACAAGCAAAGCACCACCATTTCTTTTCAACTCCTTCATAAAGCAAGAGAAGCTTCTGCTGTGTAACAGGCCAAGGGGTGTGGGTGTGCTTCATGTCCTGAATCCTGCCCTCTCCTGCAGCCCAGAGGTAGTGTATATAGGGCTGCCCTGTCACATGAGGAGCTAAGGGTAAAAGAATGGTGGCTTCCTATTAAGTAATGCAGGAAAACCCCAGAAAGTCAGGAAATAACTGTACTTGAGTATTTTCAGCTCCTTACATACATCTGATCCATCTGATCTTGGCATTGAAATTCCTGTAAAGGAATTGAGGATACCTGTAAAAGAATACAGAGGGTTGGATTTTTTTATTCTGGCATGGTCCAAGGTTACTGTAAAATACTTAGGAGGATGCTTAATGTCACCAACTGTTAATGCTGCAAAAAGCTTAAGTACATTGGTTAATACAGTTGCACTCTGTTCTCCATGTCCTGTGACTGTTTGAGTGTATGGAGAATTGAAACTATACTTTGTGCTTTGTGCTCAACTAGAGTCTTTAGTTTCTGCCTGTTCTGCAGAGAAATGTGAGACTGGCATGGAAAGAGTGTAAGCATTCAAGTTCAGATCACTGGCCTGCAGCTGTTGGTCACTTAAGCAAGCATCCTTAATTTGGTGGGACTGTTCTTGGGAACATTGGGCTTTCAGGATCCAGCCTGTGGAGGGGATTTAGCAAACCTGCAAAGTTTAAAAGGCGAAATATCTTTTCTAATTTGCAGCCAGAACCAGCTCTTGAGGCCTGTCTATTTCCCTGGATTTGTTTGCAGGTTATGGGGCTATGTAAAGCTTTCCATTTCTGCACGTGGATAAGAGCTTTTCCCTTCCTGTATCTTTAAGTACAAACACCCTGTACTGGCCCTCAAGATAATCCTTGATGAATTGTCACAGCTCTGTTCCTCTGCTGGGAGCAGAAAATGGTCTATTTCATCACTTACAAATCCCAGCCAGCACTCTGAAGCTATCTGACTTTTGCTGTTTCTAGATCTTTCAGGAACCAGGAAATACTTTTCTGGCCTTGCTGCTTATGTGTCCTTCTGCATGGAGGACTGCACAGTAGAATTTTTTCTCTGGTTATTTTCAGTACCTTTAAGGCCTCTCTTTATTACATCCCCACAAAGAGAAGAACCAAGGTAAATGTAGTGTCAAGCTTGCCAACAGGGCTGAGGCCTGGGAAGAGTACAGTACAGCACAGGAGCCTGCAGACTGCTCTCCTTAGAACAGTTGGTCTGCTCTAGTCTCTTAGCTGAGGTTACTTCTCCCTGTGCTCTGTGGAGTGGCAAGGTCACACCTGCATTCCTATGCAGAGGATGCTGCAGAAGAGTTGACAGAACAGTTGACGCCAACTCAGCAGAAAGACAGACTGGTTTTGTTTGACATCTGCCATTTGAAGAAAGCATAACCAACTTCTGCTAATAAACTAGGGATTTTTCTGTTGCATCTCTTCATTCCTGTAGGTATGTAGAGTTCAACTTGGTTTATGACAGAGGTACAAAGTTTGGCCTCCTGACACCAGGATCAAGAATCGAAAGCATTCTTATGTCTCTGCCACTGACTGCAAGGTAAGGGTGTGGTTATGTGGAGTTGCAGCAGACACTGTTCTTAGTAAAATACTTCACAGGATTAAATCAAAGGTCTCATCTGGTCTCTAGTCTCTTAACAGTGACAAGTTCATGCCTGATACAAGAACTGGACAAGTACAGTTCTCTATTCTGCAAATGCAGCTGCTTCTCCGTTGCACTCACCTAGTTGCCAGTAGTATCTGGCAAAAAAAATTATAGTTTTTTTGCTTAGTTCCTCTTGATAGATTGATTATTCTCACTCCATGGATTTTTGTTTAGTAGCCCTTAGAGAGCCTTTGGCAGTCCTGCCAAATGTGGGGCAGGGAGCTGCACAGTTTAACTAACTGTGTTATATGAGAAAGTACCTTTTTGTTTTCTACTTGGACCTGATGACTTCATCTGACTTCTCACTGAGTAACATGATTTTCTTCTGTTCATTTTCTCCATAACAGTTTTTATTTTACAAGGCTTCTGGGGGTTTTTCATTGTTTGTTTTCCAGGCTGACAGTTTGTTTTCCTGCTCTTTTTAGTTTTTTGTACAGTTGATGTTTCATACTTTTGCCACTTTTGCTAGGCTTAAGTTTTCTGTGCCGTTTCTGAATGGGGATAAGGAACAGACAATGTAAGCTACATATCTGGATACAAGATGCAGGTGTGCTCCTGACTTATAGTGGCATAGCAATATTTTAATTCATTATTCTTTCCACAATCCTAATATTCTGTTTGTTGGTTTTGACTGCTGTTCAGCATTGAGGTGGCTTTTTTTATAGAACTGTTACAATGCCAAAGTTTTTTCTGGGCAATAAAATTTAACCCAATCTGTGTGCAACTTTCTTCTGTGTCCATCACATCAATCAACAGTAAATTTCACCTGCCATTTTATTACTCAGTTGCTTGGCTAAATACTGTTTTTAACTGTCCTTTTAGGTTTTAACCCATCTTGCTTATGCTTGTCATACCAGCAAATTTGGCCATTTACTATTTATTCCTGTTGCTTTTGGGTATCCTATTATGAATTCCATAAAACTCACTAGTGAGGAAAACTGCCTGCTGCCTTGTAATCGTGAAGGCAGTGCTGTTCTTACCATATATCTTTATCCCACTGACACCACCTGATGTGTCCCTGACCTGGTGGTGTAGCATGTTCTATGTTTTGACATAATTACGGTGATTCTTTTTTTTCATCAATGTAACTAGCTCACTTCACAGCATGAAGGGGTCATTCCTTGGGGGGCAAAATGGAAAGAGGATGTACCCATCTCTCTGTGACTGCTGACACTTTCCTGTCTCTGTTGTGTCTCTTTCAATTGCTTTTTCAATGAAAAAAGGGATCTTTCACCACTTTTGTTCTTAAAACCATGATTCAACAAAGACTCGTAGAGCTTCCAGTCGAGATTCTGGAAAAAGGTTGTGTCACTGTCAGAATTCTGTGGGTTCTTGTTTTTGTTCATCTTCCTTGTGATACTAGTGTGTCACAAGAGACTGTTACAAGATTTTTGCAAATAAACCTGCATGCCTTATGGGACATAAAGTACTGCTCTTTCCTTTTTCCTTGTCCTTCCAGATTTTTCAAAAGTTGGTAAAAAGATGAAGCTAACATTTCTCCCATCTACTCTGGTGACATTATTATTTGTTTTTACTAAACTTGTGATTTGTAACCATATCTGTCATCTCAGCCAAGAGTATCAACTGTGTATGTAGCTTTGCATCCTTAGAAAAGGCAACTCCAGTCCAAACACCGCCTGGTGCAGGAGAAGTGGCTGCCAGCTGGGCTATTTGAGTGAGTTTCCCTTCTCCTTGCAGGTGGGAGTACATGCACAACCCACCAGAGAGCTCGAAAGAAGCAGAAATTCTGGAGGTTCTGCGAAATCCCAAAGACTGGGTGCACTGACACGGATCATGAACAGGATTGATTGCTTCCACTGAGCCATTCTGAGAGAACAGGAATGCCTGCAAACCAGCCCATTCAAACTGCTGTTGCATGGTGTTTAAGTGTGTCTATTTATACTCTTACCTCGTGCCTTAATTATGCTGTAGACTTGTTAAAACTTGCAAGTGTGTGAACTCATTCTTTTAGATTGATGGGCTAACGTTATCATCCCTTGTTGCTGTTGCCTTGTGAAGGACTGGTGAACACCTCACAGGGCTACTCCGCATGCTTTAGATGACTGCAAAATGGCAAACCACTGTGGTGTCTTTGGGAAATGAAAGGACTATCTGTGCCTAAATAGCACTGCTTGCCTTTATAAAATGTTGGTATGCTTAAAAACATTTTTTTAAAGAACAAAGGGAAGATTTGGTATTACATTAAACGTTACGCTGTGCTTTCAGGAAGCTGTGGAGAAGGTAGTACTTCATCCTATGTTTTTTGATGATATCTTGTTGATTGTAGAGGGGGGAAATGGTTTAAGATGTGCTGCAGCAGCATAATTTGGCTGAAGTCTCAGTGTTACCTCATGAGAACGGAAGGATGGCTGTCCGTTTGAGAAAATCAGCACTGAGCACCTGTGCTGCAGATCACACAGCAGAACAATACTGCTCGAGCCAGTTCCATTGCCAGGGAGATTGACGGTGGAACAGGACGCTGTTGGATGTTGCCCTAAGGCGTATCCACCTCTGCCTTCGCGCTCCTTCTAGCTTTGGACTGATTGTCTTGGTTCCCAGCTCGAACTTGGCTGAGCAGCTGGAAAGGGAAAAAGCAAGTGAAGGTCGGATTTTGTTTCCCCCCAATCGAGGAAAAAGGAACTGGTCTCTCTCCCCGTCGGGGAATCGAACCCCGGTCTCCCGCGTGACAGGCGGGGATACTCACCACTATACTAACGAGGAGCTCGACATATGGTAGTCGTCTCCCCACCACCAGCCAGTAGCACCTCACCTGCTGTCCCGCCATGATCACCCAAGTCCAGCTCCCGCTTGGGAGGTACCGCGTTCGTTTCCGTGTTACCCCTCCGCCCCTAAAACAAAATGAAGTGATCCTCTGCTAAGTCAGAGATCTCCTCCTGTCCAAGGGGGAAAAAAAAAAATAAGCATTGGCCCGTACGGGGATCGAACCCGCGACCTTGGCGTTATTAGCACCACGCTCTAACCAACTGAGCTAACCGGCCACTTTCTCTAGGGGATTTGAGGAACAAGAGCCGAGCCATTCCCATAGACGTGCTGTGGTTGCAGCCACTGCTAAGCGCCGCTCTAGAGTGATCGCTCTTCCTAGACACCGCCTCGGCGAGTTGTTTCATGGAGCCATGGTAGAGCAGCAAGGGGACCAACCGGGGTGACAAGCATTCCTAAAAAATTGAGACTTTCACACCTTTCGTTTTTCTCTGCCTGCTCCTTCCTCCGGTGCGCGGGGGGCAATTACGGGCGGCACGGAGCGGCTCGGCGAGGCTGCACCCTGCACACGGACGCGCACCTCCCGGCGGAGCAGCAGCACCACCGCAGCGAACCGCCACGCTTTGTAGGAACTATTCCCGACCATTCCCTCTCTCCCTCCTTTTGGCCACGCCGCGGACGGGGATGCGATGGAAAGAGTGATGGGTCCATTCCCCCTGTGAAGGGTCACTTGTGAAATCAAGGCATTAATTAGAAAAATGCAGAAAATATTTCAGAATTAAATACCTCTGAGTCAGTGAAAAAGTTGTAGAGGAAGAGGACATAATTAAATTCCCAGCCCTTCCCTTCACAAACCGTCAGTATGAGTGCTAAATTGAGCTCTTCTCCTTTGGTTCATTTGCTGCTAACACGACCTATCATTAAATACATCAATAAAAAACATACTAGGAAGCCAAATATAAGGTAATATCTGCATAGAGAAGCATATATCAAGTTATCATGACAATACAAGAGCTTCCTCAAATCCTGGGCAATATTTAAGAGAGATGTTCCCACACGCTGCAGAAAAAGACCCCAAAGCAGCGACTATAACAATGACCAATACATCGTGTGAGGAGATGGTCACAGATCAGTGTAAGAAAATATGGAGTGAGGAAGGAAAAAGACAGGAGACATCTGATTGACAAAAGGGCAGAAAACTACAGATATACATGAAGAAGAAAGAAGCAGAAAGACCTACAGTAAGGGGGCTTTTTAGAATGAAGAGGCATCATTTACCAGTGACATGCTGGGCCTTAAAAAATAAGTGGGCAGTCTACAAAGAAAAATTATTTGATTAGCTGTAGAACTGGAAGAATCTGCAAAAAGTTATATACCTAAGAACACAACCCTGATGTGGTCTAAATTCAACAGGTGCTGTTTTTCTTTCCTTATGCAGCAGCATTCAATCACTAATACTGTGGAATTCCAAGACTATAGGTTTTCCTCCATCAGAAACCACAGTCCTCAGAAGCTGATCAAAAAATTTTAGGAAACAGCACTGAAGCAGTAGAATCACTCCAGAGGCAAGATGAAGACTGCCTGTTGTAAGCAGAATATGGATTTTAAACTGTGTCTCAAGCTTTCTCAAAAACACACTTCTAATGGATTTTGTTAGAATTTCAAGCTCAAGAAGCATCATGACAAAGACAACAGTCAGAGAAGAGAGAAGCTGTACGGTTTCTGCTGTTGTGAGTAGACCTCATCTCACTGTAAAATAATTTCCAAGCTACTGGGACAAGACCTTTCCAGAGCAGATTGCTCAGTAAAGAAAGAACAACTGCGAATTTCTGTGCCAGGAGCCAGAAAATACAATGCAACTGCAATGAAATGTGGTGTCTTTCTGCAAGAGAAGGGATTGCAGCCCTAACTCATATTATAACTAACATTGATCCTTTTCTATTAGGTTATCTCTAATTTATTGACCACTCATTCCTTTAAAATACCATTTTCTAAGAAAATTTTTATATAAGTATTTCACTATTTTAAAAATGCAAGAAGCACAGTTTGTTTTGCTCCTATTGTGTCATTAGAGTTCAAAATACATTTCCAAATACATTTCCCAGTCTTTCAGGATAAGAAGAATGCCTAAGGAGAGGTTAACATTTTTTCTTTCAAAAGTAAGAAATAAGTAATTGTCTTGTCTACTGTTGAATCCTGAATGTGCAGGTGAAAGATGGTAAATCTTTGATGACAGATGTTTGTCAAAATGCAATACTTAGAACTATGTGTTTGAAACGCCTGTTTCATTTTCCCTTCCCCAAGGAGTCAGATTTAATAAATTTAATACTTTCAATAACTATTCCAAGAAAACCACTTAAGATGAACTAGTCCAGGAATGAGGAAGTAAAGGATGACATTTACTTTCCCCCTCTTAATTATGGTACATTGCAGGTA